AACTCTCAGCCCCCTCCCACACACACACACACACACACACACACACACACACACACAAGCTTTTACCTCTCTTTCCCTCACTCTATCGTTTACCACTCTCATCATCCTGCTGTGTGGGAGGACAGCTGTGCGGCAGCGGCCATTTTGAATTATATAGGTCAGTGGGAGATTGTGTTTGTGTGTTTGCTGTTATTTTAAGAGCTCTTCACTCCTCAAGCAAAAGATGCTCTGAATGAAATGTTAACATTTGTTATCACAAAGACATTGATACGATGTGTTCCTGTGCTGCTGAAGAAAAGAAAAAAATCAATCCATCAGCGTCATAATGCAAACCAATAGAAATACACATGCAAATGAACCATGGGAGCAGACGTGACGCATGGTTCTGATGGACGACATAAAACCACACACACATACACACAAAGCCCAACACAGTTACCGAGCAGGTCTCCAGAACGAGCTGTGACAAAGACACAATTGAGTCTGGGGAGAGAGAGGAGAAGGATCATGTTCACAGTTGACTTGTTCTATGTGAGGCTCAGCTGGACTGATCAGCACCGACAGCTGGGGTGTCAAACTATCACCTCCAACTCTTTCCTCTGAGAGAGACAGAGAGAGAGAGACACAGATTTCTCCCCATGGTAAACACCAACACATGGGAATGCTTTCTCTCTTTCTCAGTCTCCTCTATTTCTGTCCCGTTCCACAGCTCCTCTCCCTGACTCATAAACTTATTAATTAGAAATTATGCAATTGACCCAAAAACAGAGAGAGAAAGCACAAGTGTGTGTGTGTGCCAGTGTGGGTGCTGCTCTACATGCATTTGCGCTTTGCCAAGCGTGTCCTAAAAAAAATCTAACCCGCAGAGAAAAGCTCTTCAAAAGGCTGTCAACCTAGCTCTTCTCCTCTCACATCCCTCTCCTGATTCTCTTCAGGGAGAAGACATGGAGGAGGAAAAGAGCCAGGATCAGAGGGTTGTTGTGTTGGAAGCAGCATGGGAAACAGATGAGTTTAGAGAGAAACCTGCAGATTAAAGTCATGACGGGAAAATGTCTTTCTATATTTAAATATAGTTAAAATACTCAAACAGCCTAACGAACATCACAGAAAGTCTTAACAGGTCACATTACATTGGTTATACATGAGTAAAAGAAAAAAGAAAAAACTATTGTGGTCTGTACTTTTATCCATGAATATACTATAAACAGTGCATCTATGTGCAGCACTTTCTCTATCACACATCACTAACACACAGCCATCAGGGGGAAATTTGGGGTTCAGTGTCTTGCCCAAGGACACCTCAGAGGAGCCAGGGATCGAACACCAACCTTCTGGTTAGTGGACGACCCATTCTACCTCTACCTGCCCTTGGAGATTGTGGCTGAAGTCTAAACCCATTAATTGTACTGAACATTTATAAATGGGTCCATTGTGATATATACTTAAATGTTTCCTTCAGGTACTCAAAAGCAGGCAGGACACTTGAGTTTTTAGTGGTGCTCAAATCAGAAGTTAATACAGCATCTGCTGGATGTAATAAGTAAATATAGACTATAAGCAGAATCATCAACAGAGGAAAGACCCCAGCATCCTGGCTTCACTGGAAATTTGGTGGCATAACCTGTAAACTTTCAGAAGTGATTTACGCAATAAAGTATCCCAGTGAAGTTTAGATTTCATTATTTAGAGGGCTAAAGCCTAATAAGATAACCATGATGATGAGATGTAAGATCCATTGTTGAAAGACTGTTTTTAGGTCTGTTTTCTAGCATGTGTTGGAGTGAATGAGTGAGTTTGCAGACTGAGCGACCATCAGGGGCACACAAAGTGTAGTTAAAATATCATCTGTAACAAATTACACACCAGGAGACTCCATAATGACTGCCTGATGACGGAAAGAACGCTTTGTTGTTACAGTATACGTGCGCTGCCCTTAAGAGGGGAAAACAGAAACAAGGAGAAGCGTGAGGAGGGAATTAGCAGACGAGCAAGAGCAGATTGTTATTTCAATGCTGAAGAACAGAGCCCTGCTTTGATCACAGATTATAACAGATACCTAATGACAGGGAAATCTACATGGTGTGACGTGTGCATGACAAGGAAGCAGCCGTCTTTACACTCCGCAGCAGTTACATGGTGTAGACAGTGCCTCCACTAGCATGATGATTTGTCTGCAGATGGAGGCTTGATCTCCATCTGTGTCTTCAGCTAAGCAGAGACTCATATCGCCCTCTTCAGGCTACACCGGGGAACACAATGCTGCTGCTGCTCTGCACTAGAGGACTGTGGGAAAGAGTGACGTCATCTAACAGCACTAGAGGCTTGTGTCTCTGGGTAAATACTGATGGGGAAAATTGTATTTCACAGTATGTCACTGGATGTGCTAAACTGGCACATATATGTGGTCTGATGGTCTGAATTACTTCAGTGAGTTTTAAGCAGAGGATGCACATGACAACATGGTGGTTTGATTGATGAGTGCTCTCCTGTTGGTGTAAACTAGCTTTCTCTCTCTCTGTGTGTGTGTGTGTGTGTGTGTGCACATCTGTGAAAGCACATGTCTTTGTAAGGGTCTTTTCTTTTTTGTAAGAGCAGACTGTCTGCAGGGGCAGCGTGTGCCTCTATTGTTGCTAACCCCTTTATCTCCCCTCCCTTTCCTTTAACTACTGCTTTGTCAACTTGTTGCTACTGTGATTGGTTGTTTGAGTGAGGGTCAAGACCCAGCAGATGTGTCTATAGTGAGCGTTTAGACACGTCATTCCTTCACTTCAATTGCTTTTAGAACACAAACACATGAATTAGCCAAATGTAGCCAAGCTGACAAGTCTGGATTCATACAAAAGTACATAAAGAGACACTGAGATCAAAATCTAAAACTAAAAATGTGATAGTGATAGTGTTTTCAAAACTATGCAAGGTTGTCTGTCCTCTGGAACGTAATGTGCGTGTTGGGGTATGTGTATTGGTATGCAAACGTCATCCATGTGCGTCTTTGTATTGGCATGTGGGCATCTGGTTTGTGTACATTTGCCTTTGTGTGTTTATAGGGGTGTGTGTCCTTGTGTAGGGGGGGCTAGACAGACGGTGGGCAGACAGCTGAGGATCCCCGTGTGGCCTATTTATTCTATACAACCAGCACAGACACACACACAGTGAACTGAGGTACAGGTCAAAGGTGGGAGCCTCTGCAGCCTCGTGACTTTTGCATTCAGTCACACTGCTGTGACACAATGAGCATGACAACACACTCAGTGAGCCCTCAGTCGTCTTTCAGCAGCAAGTTGGTGACGTCTGCAGTCGCCACAGCTGTGAAGGGATGAAGACAAAGAGGAGGGACACACTTCATATAACCAGGACCATTACATGCACAATCAATAACTCCTCAGGGGAAAAATAAAACAATAAATAGAAAATGTTGCTTGTGTTTTGAAGAGACAGTCATAAATATATTAGCAGTAATCAAGCAAATATCAAACTTTATTTCCTTCTGTCATTTATGCTAATTAAAATCCAGTCACCCATTAACTTTCAATAAACTTTATACATAACTATAATATAATTTAAAATGTAATGTCAGATGTTTAGGCACCTAGAATGACTCAGGGAGTGAGTTTCAATGTGACAAGAATGCTATTTAAGGCTTTTCATATGTTAATTTATAAATCAATGGCATGAACCTTTGTTTTGTGTTTGTAGTGTCATTATGTGACACCTGATCTATAATACCACTGAACACAAGAGTTTAAATAAATAGCATGGAAACGTAAGAAGAACAAATTACGATGAGCAACTGGTTTAACTGGTTTAAGTGCTGGTGACATTATCCCTTACAATTATTGGAGGGCAAGATGAGAAACCTATAATATCAAAAAAGATATAACCAGCTTCAAATTTTATCTGTAGACAAACAATGTAAATCTTTTCCATAAAAATGTTGCCTCAAAGATTCAAGAGCATTAATCCCATATAACCACAGCTGTGTTTTACTGGGTTATCTAATTATACAACAGAGGTGGGGAAGTTCTGGCCTCTTGGCAAAAAGAACATAACACAAAATAGTTGAACATGTCCTTCAGGTTGGTCCCTTCAGTCTGTTTGTCTTTCAGGCCACAGTCAGGGTGAATGAAACACAACCTTAGTGGAGAAGTGTCATAGCTGACAAAAATCATGGTGACTGCACACAACTAAGAAGTAGATATGGCATGTCATGTTTTCCAAGGGAGGGGAAACCAGTGCGCCACGTTAACAAGGAAGTGATCACAGTGATGAAAGAAAAGAAGTAAGATACATTAATAAGGACAAGACTTGTTTATATTCTGACAGGGACAATTGTACGGTTTTGTGACAAGTAAGCTAGTTGAGTAGTGAAGATGCTGAAACTTCATTCAGAAAGTGGATTTGTGAAGGAGACTTTCTGTCTCTGTAAAGCTGCTCCAACATACAAAATGAAATTGTTTAGAGTTGCAGAGCAAATTACTTTTGGCATCAGTAAGATATTGAAAAAAAATGCAGTTCTAGTCATTGCATTAGGTCAGTTTGATGTGTTTTGTTATGGCCCTAGTGAGTAAGAAGGTTCCCCAGCTCTGCTATGAAACAAGCACCGAACAAATTAAGGGTATTTTCTCCAGATCTTATTCTCCTTATCCACTTTACTGCCCTGTATGAACAACATTTTATAGGTGTTCTACACATTATGGAGCAAACACTAAAATACTCTCCCTGTGTACATGAGCTGGACAGAGCAGTGGTTCCCAGTCTGCTTACAGAGGCTGCCTGTCGCCACACTGGTTCATGATATGTACCTATTGACCCAAAGTCAGGATGTGCCTCCTCCTACTTCGGCTTTACTTAATTGAGACTCAAACAAACATGCCCATGCACAAGCACTAAGACACCCTCCTATTGTGTGGGTGAAAGACTTGAAGCCCTTCCAGGCTGGAAGAAACAAAGGGGGCAACTATAAAGGAACGGCCTTTAAACATTAGAGTGAAAATATAAACTTCTGACACATCTGAGATTGCCAAACAAATGCCAGTGTGGTTTCACAAGCTTCTAATGAGCCAAGGAAAACACTAAAACCTGGGCAAAAGAAAAACAGGGATTAAAAGGCTGTGGAGGAGAGGAGACTGGAGGAGGTAGTGAGCAGAAATGTGATACATACGGCCACAGACAAGTATGCGTAGGGAGGAAGGCTTACGCTCCTTTTCTCTGTCTCACACACACATGTTCAGGTATTTCCTGTTAGGAGTGTGAGGTGGCCAAACAGTAACATGGGTGACTGACTGAGCCCTCAAATGGGCCCCATTCTTAGTCATAGACTTCTCCTTCCTCTGCTCACTCCATTTCCTCCTCTCACTGTTGTCTGACTCAGTTTAGTGGTGACGAGTCTGAGGCTTTTGTATTAACAACTGTGTACTGCAATATTTTCGCAGTGTGGCACGAGCTCTGTTTTACTGTAACGCAAAAATACAAGGCTTGAGATTGAAAGCAAGAAAGACAGAAAACAAGCAAGAGGGACAGAAAGCGAGCGAGAAAGAAAGAGCAGTCTAGCCTTTAGTTCTGAGTTATTCCACTCTGGATCACCGCTTCACATCTGGCTTCTATCGACGGAGGGATTGGGTTGCACACACTCTTCCCCAACTTCTCTTAGGTGTGAATATGCAACCCACACACATGTATGTGAACAGACAGACACACACACACACACAC